GCTATCCGCTATACTGGTGGTGAGAGAGGCTAAGCCAGCGCCGAGATGATACGACATAGCAAGACTTGCCAGAGCATTATTAATCCAACAGGATTTATTGATTATTGAATACATTAAAGTTACTATCAAAAGAAGTGGATTTATCAGTGTGAGTTACCTTCGAACATCCAGAAGAAAAGGGGTCATCGCACCGATGTCGAGAGCATGCGTAGTAATTCCCATCACGTGGTTCTGGATTCTCGTGAGCTCAGCCATCAGTGCTGAATACAATTGTATATTACAATAGTAGTATATCTCCTGATTAAGGTATAATCAATGGTTTGAACTTACTTCGAATGTACTTTGCTCGCGGTGGAATATCTATACCCAGTAGCTTTTCGACAGCAAGAGAGAATGCTTGTTCATTACACATCATGGACACGTAATCAAGCCGATCGAAATATGGTAGTGCCTGGAAAATAGTGAGGATTCACTAACCGGAACTTATTAAAAACACGCGAAATTCATGGGAAACTCAAGTAACAGTAGTGCCTCGAAATGTTAATCAAGATCAAAGTCATACGGTTTTGTTCGCTACGGGCATACAGGCACTTCAGGGCGGCTAGATTCTGCCGGCGCCAGCCAGTTTTCCACCAACTGTGCTTCCGCGCCAGCTTTCGCATTGATTAAGGACGAGCTGTCACCGCGCCAAATCTAGCCCCCCCCCCCCTGAAACCACACGATTTCACATGCGAACAAGATCGTGCCCACACGCGAATTCATACCACACTCCAGAAACCCGGCGCCGGCGACTGCACGCCAAAGGACTGGCTAGGCATCGGCGATCCGGCGATTCTCCAAAACTCCACATCGCTGAGTCCTTCAATTCGCCGGATCGCTCAATCTCCCGAATCGCCGGATCGATACATATGCTTTCTTCGTCGCGTAGTCTTTCGCCGAGAAGGAAGTGAATAAAATTAAGTTTTAACATACCTGCGTGTAGGTTTTGTGCTCAATGAGCTTCTCAGTGGCCCGATGAAGCAACCCAATATGAGGAATCGCTTTTATGATAACCTGAACGACCAAAGATGAATACCAACTTCGAAGCCGCTGTTACCAACCGGCTCTCCATTTCTCCATACATGTGAAAACGAATTGACAACTCACTTCTCCTTCCAATTTTAACACAAGACGAAGCACTCCGTGAGCTGCTGGATGCTGAGGACCAAAATTCAATATCATGTTCTCGAGTTCCTTCTCACTGAAAACATGCACTCGAATGAGAACCTTATACTGAGTTAATCAG